GAAAGTGTGTGTGTGTGTGTGTGTGTGTGTGTGTGTGTTTGTGTGTGTGTGTGTGTGAGTCTGAGGCTGACAGGTATTTCAGAATAGGTCCAGGTGTGTGTTTTAAAATAATATAAAGTTTAAATGAAGTGAAAGGATTGGGAACCGCTGGTTTTAAGTACTCCTACTCTTCCACTCAAGATAAGGAAGTTAACAAATGTTTTTGTTATGCACCACATCTCTCAACAATCAAATATCAGAACAGGAGATCACTCAATATGAATGATTGTGTTTTGTGATGACGTCTCTGGTGTTTTCAGCCCTCAGAACCTCCTGGATTTGGTGGAGATGGAGAGGAAAGTCAGAGAAGCAAAAGCAGAGCGAGAGCGACTGCTGAGAGAAAGAGTGAGTTACTGAACAATACACACACAAAAACACACGCCAGATCGTCATTTATAAGATCTCACACACATTCCTGCTGTTATGTTGAACATATTCTGCTGTTTTATCACATGACTGATAACAAAAGTTCAATAAAGATTAATATTTACCTTTGCATTTACACATCTAGCAGACTTTCAGTCTAACATTTGGAGTCAGCAGAATTCAAGGACAGAAGGCCATATTTTACACAGAATTTCTACTGTGGAGAATAGAGCTTGACCGATATATCGGTTTACCAATATTAAAATGCATGTGAATTATGGTGTATATCTGTAAATTTGATATTGCAAAACCGATATCTGATTATGGTGAAATGCATTACTGTCTGTTAATCAATATATTGGTTTTATGATATCGGATTCACAGATAAACACCAAATTCACAATTTGTGAATCCAATATTACAAAACTGATATCTGATTATGGTAAAATGCTTAAATATCTGTAAATCATTATATCGGTTCTGTAATATAATATCGGATTCACAGATAAAGACCACAATTTACAATCTGATATTACAAAACCGATATTTGTTTATGGTAAAATGCTTAAATAACTGTATATTGATATATCGGTTTCGTAATATAATATCATATTCACAGATAAACACCACAATTCATAATCGGATATTACAAAACCGATATGCAAATATGGAAAGTTATTAAAAAAATAATACAAAAATAAAACAAGATTTTAAGTATCTCTAAATAATTATAGCGATTTTCTAATATTGGATTCACAGATAAACACAACAGTTCACAATCTGTAAATCTGATATTACAAAACTAAAATTTGATTATGGTATGATGCTTAAATATCTGAAAATCAATATATCAGTTCTGTAATATCGGACTCCCCGATGAACAGCACAATTCATAATCTGCATCCGATATTATAAAACCGATGTCCAAAAATGGAAAGATATTACAAAAATAATAAAAAATATTACAAAAGTTTAAATATCTGTTAATAAAAATAGGATTTTTAATATCAGATTCACAGATTAACTCCACAAATCCACAAAAAAAAGTCTAATATTAACCTAATATTATAAAACCGATATTTGATTATGGTATGGTGCTTAAATATTTGTAAATCAATTTATTGAATTCAATATTTAATATCTGATTATAGTAAAAAGTTTAAATATCTGTAAATAAATATATCAGTTTTGTAATATAATATCAGATTTACAGATGAAGACCACAAAATCTTTAAAACCGATATTACAAAACTAATATTTGATTATGATAAAATGCTTAAATGTCTGTAAAACGATATATAGTTTTTGATATTACATTCACAGATAAACACCACAATTTATAATCTAAATTCAATATTAAAAAGCACTATTCAATTATTGAAAGATATTACAAATATAATACTAAATATTGCAAAAGTTTAAATATCTGTAAATCAATATATCGGTTTTGTAATGTTGGATTTACAGATAAAAACCACAATTCACAATCTGTGAATCTGAAATTACAAAACTAATAACTGATTATAATTTGATGCTTAAATTTCTGTAAATCAATATATCGGTTTTGTAATTTCGAGTTTTTTCGAGATTTCCACAATCTGTGAATCTGATATTAAAAATCTGATATCTGATTATAGTAGGATGCTGAAATATCTGTTATCTGTTTTTTTTTTCACAAATAAACACCACAATTCATAATCTAAATCCGATATTATAAAACCGATATTCAAATATGAAAAGATATTAAAAATATAATACTAAATATTACAAAAGTTTAAATATCTGTAAATCAGTATATCAGTTTTGTAATGTTGGATTTACAGATAAACACCCCAATTCACAACCCATGAATCCGATATTACAAAACCGATATTTGATTATAGTAAAATGCTTAAATGTCTGTAAAACGTTATATCGGTTTTGTAATATTAACATCACCAATATACATAGCGATTATATCCAAATTCTGTGAATTTGATATTACAAAACCGATAGCTGATTATGGTAAAATGCTTCAATATCTGTAAATCGCTTTATCGGTTTTGTCTTATGATATTGAATTCATAGATAAACTGCACAATTCATAATCTGTGAATCTGATATTACAAAACGAATATCTGATTATGGTTAAATGCTTAAAGATCTGTAAATCAATAAATTATGAATCCGATATTACAAATCTGACATATTGTTTTACAGATATTTAAGCATTATACCATAATCAGATATTGATTTTGTAATATCTGATTTACAGATAAACACCACAATTCAAGATCTATTTTTTTGTGTGTTTATTTTTAACATTATTTTCTCAGACTCCTCTTTTTATTTGTTATAATTAAGAGATTTTGTATGCAGGTAGTAAAATGGTTTGCTCGTTTGCTTAATGGTTTTTTAAAGAAATATCGGTTGTGCATATCGGTTATAAGGCACATGAACACACATTATGTATACTAAACATAAAAAGTTATTTTTATTTACTATTCAAAATTGAGAGTATTAACAAGTGTGTGTGTGTGTGTGTGTGTGTGTGTGTGTGTGTGTGTGTGTGTGTGTGTGTGTGTGTGTGTGTGTGTGTGTGTGTGTGCGTTCAGGAGGAGCGTCTGATGGAGGAACAGCGGAGACAGAAAGAGCCTTTAAGAACACACACGGACACACTAAAAGCAAACGCACACACTGAAGAACGGACACAGATCAGCTCAACAAACCACACACTCGAGGTGAACACACACACACACGCATGCACAGTAAATACACAGATTTACAGGATTCGTGTTTCATTCCATGTCCATACATACTAATTCAAAGCAGGTGATTCATTTAATTTTATCATTCAAATCTGTATAATGTTGATTCAGTTCATTTCAATGTTGGTTTATTTGAGTACGGTGTTGATTCAGTTTAGTTTAATGATGGTTCAGTCAATTTTAGTGTTGATACGGTTTAGTTTGGTGATGATTCAGTTAATTTCATTTTTGATTCAAATCTGTTTAATGTTGATTCAGTTAATTTCAGTGATGGTTATGTTGAGTGCAGTGTTGATTCAGTTTAGATTTGTAATGGTTTAGTTAATTTCAGTGTTGATTCACTTGAGTGCAGTGTTGATTCAGTTTAGTTTGGTAATGATTCAATTGATTACAGTGTTGGTTCATTTGAGTGCATTGTTGATTCAGTTTAGTTTGTTAATGATTCAGTTAATTTCAGTGTTGGTTCATTTAAGTGCAGTGTTGATTCAGTTTAATTTGGTGATGATTCAGTTAATTTCAGTGTTGGTTCACTTGAGGGCAGTGTTGATTCAGTTTAGTTTGGTAGTGATTCAGTTCATTTCAGTGTTGGTTCATTTAAATGCAGTGTTGATTCAGTTTAGCTTGATGATTCAGTTAATTTCAGTGTTGATTCAGATCTGTTTAATGTTAATTCAGTTCATTTCAATGTTGGTTTTTATGAGTGTAGTGTTGATTCAATTTAGTTTGGTAATGATTCAGTTCATTTCAGTGTTGATTCAAATCTTTTTAATGTTGATTCAGTTCATTTCAATGTTGGTTCATTTGAGTGTAGTGTTGATTCAATTTAGTTTGGTAATGATTCAGTTCATTTCAGTGTTGATTCAAATCTTTTTAATGTTGATTCAGTTCATTTCAATGTTGGTTCATTTGAGTGCAGTGTTGATTCAGTTTAGTTTGGTGATGATTCAGTTTATTTCAGTGTTGGTTAATTTGAGGGCAGTGTTGATTCAGTTTAGTTTAATGATTCAGTTAATTTCCTTGTTGATTCAAATCTATTCAATGTTGATTCAATTAATTACAATTTTGGTTCATTTGAGTGCAGTGTTGTCAGTTTAGTATGATGGTGATTCATTTAATTTCAGTTTTGGTTCATTAATTACAGTGTTGAATGAGTTTATTTTGATGATGGTTTAGTTCATTTCAGTGTTAATTCAGTTACATTTACATTTAGTCATTTAGCAGATGCTTTTATCCAAAGCGACTTACAAATGAGGACAAGGAAGCAATTTACACAATTATAAGAGCAACAATGAAGAAGTGCTGTAGGCAAGTTTCAGGTGTGTAAAGTCTAAGAAGGAAAGTATTAGTAATTTTTTTTTGGGGGGGGGGTACAGTTAGTGATATAATCAGAGAGGCAATTGCAGATTAAGAAGTGAAGTGGAGTCTAAATAGTTGAGTTTTTAGTGGTTTCTTGAAGACAGCGAGTGACTCTGCTGTTCTGATGCAGTTAGGGAGTTCATTCCACCAACTGGGCAGATTGAGCGCGAGAGTTCGGGAAAGTGATTTCTTCCCTCTTTGGGCTGGAACCACGAGATTTAGTTTGGTGATGATTCAGATCATTTAAATTTTAGTTCACTTGACTGCTGTGTTGATTCAGTTCAGTTTTGGTGATGATTCAGTTCATTTCAGTGTTGATTCACTTGAGTGCAGTTTTGATTCAGTTTAGTTTGGTGACGATTCAGTTAATTTCAGTGTTGATTCACTTGAGTGCAGTTTTGATTCAGTTTAGTTTGGTGACGATTCAGTTCATTTCAGTGTTGATTCACTTGAGTGCAGTTTTGATTCAGTTTAGTTTGGTGATGATTCAGGTGATTTCAGTGTTGATTCATTACTGTTTAATGTTGATTCAGTTCATTTCAAAGTTGGTTCATTTGAGTGCAGTGTTGATTCGGTTTAGTTTTATAATGATTCAGCTCATTTTGTTGTTGATTGATTCTTTTCATTGTATCAATTATGAATCAATTGTAATTAATAGTCTATTTCAATGTTGCCTCAAATAATGTCAATATTGATTTAATTTCAGAAACAATGCTTAAATAAAACCATCACCATTTCTGATATGGCATGTGTGTGTGCTTTAGCATAAAGCCTATATGAGTTTGACAACTGAGGGAAATTGTTATGTTTAATTTCAAGATAATTTTAAATAAAAATGAATGTTTTTGTCAGCTTTTTAAATTAGAGAGCTAAATATAGTCTGCCCAATTTCAAGTAATCAAGTTGTCACCATGTGTGTGTGTGTGTGTGTTGATCAGGGTGTTCCTCTGTCCCTGACGCTGGATTTTGACCTGCGGGCTCATGTGGAGTCTCTGGGTCATAATGTGTCGGGCTGTATGGGTGTAAATCTGTCCTCCAGGCGCTGCGGAGGATTCCTGACCAAACGCGGCGGTCGAGTGAAGACCTGGAGGAGGAGATGGTTCATCTTTGACCTGGACCACCAGAGACTGGCCTACTACACCGGTCAGACTCAACACACACACTGATTAAGTGTTGAAGAAGTGTTGAATATGTGCTGAATATGTGTTGCTTCTCCACTCTTCAGAGCTGGATGAGAAGAAGCTGAAGGGTGTGATATATTTCCAGGCCATCGAGGAGGTTTATTATGATCATCTGCGGACGGCAGCGACGGTGAGTTCACTGCGGCTGCGTCTCAATCAGATCCTAGTTTACTAGTTAGGGCACTTGTCATTTTAAAGGACTCATATTGCAGAATACTTCCAGTGCACTGAAACATTCACTTGACAACTCTGACGTTTGTGTGTGTGTGTGTGTGTGTGTGTGTGTGTGTGTGTGTGTGTGTGTGTGTGTGTGTGTGTGTGTGTGTGTGTGTGTGTTTTCAGTCTCCACGTCCCAGTCTGACGTTCTGTGTGAAAACCTACGAGCGTCTGTTTTTCCTGGTGTCTCACAGCGCAGAGGCCATGAGGATCTGGATGGACGTGATCGTCACTGCCACTGACGAACACAGCAGATACTGAACACACACACTGACACATACACACTCACAGATACACTGCAACACACACAGATACCCGCACACAAACACACGAGTGCAGGGCGTTCTGTGATTGACTCTGCTGCCCCCTGCTGTTACACTACACACATCACACACGCTCCAGATTTCAGCTCTATTTATATTTATTACTGTTTCGTATTCATCGCTCATGTTTTGCTACGGAAATATTTTTGGGTAAAAATACGGCAAAGTGTTAATAAATATTTACATTCCAAACAACATGTCTGCACTTTATTAAAGTAGAACTGCTGCCAAAATTAAGTCAAGGGGTAATATTCTTAACTATTAATTGTGTTATTGGATATACACACACTGGCCACTTTATTAGGTACACCACCTTTTTACACCTCGGATTAATAAAGGGACTAAGCCGACAAGAAAATTAATGAATGAATATATTACAGGGGCGTCATTGTGGCTCAATGGTTAGCACTGTTGTCCCACAGCAAGAAGGTCGCTGGTTTGAGCCTCGGCTGGGTCAGTTGGTGTTTCTGTGTGGAGTTTGCATGTTCTCCCCGTGTTGGCATGGGTTTCCTTCGGATGCTTTGGTTTCCCCCACAGTCTAAACACATGCGCAATAAGGGAAACTAAAATGGCCGTAGTGTATGAGTGCATGTGTGAATGAGAGTGTATGGGTGTTTCCCAGTGATGGGTTGCAGCTGGAAGGGCATCCGCTGCGTAAAACATATGCTGGATAAGTTAGCGGTTCATTCCACTGTGGCGACCTCTGAAATAGCCACTAAGCCGCAGGAAAACTAATGAATATTTCACTCTTTTATTCATCATAATTATTGTTTTATTATTATCCCCTTTATTTCAGACTCTTAGTCCATATCCAAAAACATAATCACAAAATAAAAAACAAAAGATGTTGATATTTTCTTTAAATGCTTTTTATTGATATTTCTTTTCTCTCTTATTGACTATATACACCACTTTTATTTTTATTTTTTATAATTATCTTTTCAGGGTTTCACCTTTATTGTATAGGACAGTGGATTGTATTGACTGGAAAGTATGGGGAGCAGAGAGAGGGGAAGGATCGGCATAGGACTGCGAGGCGGGAATCGAACTCGGGTCACCTTACGCCCCAATCACACGGGGCTTCAGCATCAACGCTTGACTGAAGGCGTGTCTGAAGTTGGGGCTGAAGCGATCATCATAGAAGCGTCAGCCAATGAAATTCAGTCAGCAATAGGCCACTGTCTAGCTGATGTATTTGCATACAGTGATCTGATTGGCTGATGCTTCCGTCGGCGCTTGAAAAGTTAAGCTAGTCCCAACTTCTGCAGCGAGCAACACCTCTGAAGCGGCGCCGACGGATCCACAATGCAGTTCAGGAACGCCTGAAGTCACTCATTCAAAGTGAATGGGAAGCGTTGACGCTGACGCCCCGTGCGACCTCTATACAACACTTTTATTCTATTTTTTCTATTTTATATATATATATATATATATATATATATATATCTTTTTTATTTATTTTTTGATTGCTAAAACAAACAAACATGCAAACAGAAACAGAAAAAAATCTAATAATAAAGACAAAAATAGAAACAAAAAAATGTAATAAAAATACCATCAACAAGAGCACAGCTCGAGTTCACGAGTGAGGGAAGGGTGGAGCGTGAGATTGACAGGTGGATTGGTGCAGCAGTAATGTAGTCGATGTACCGGTCTGTTTTGGTAAAGAAGGAGCTGAGCTGAAAGGCAAAGCTCTCGATTTACCGGTCAATCTACGTTCCTCCTCTCACCTATGCTCATGAGCTTTGGGTCATGACTGAAAGGACAAGATCTCGGAGACGAGCAGCTGAAAGGAGTTTCCTCCGCAGGGTGGCAGGGCGTACTCTTATAGACAAGGTGAGGAGCTCTGACACCCGGGAGGAGCTCAGAGTAGAGCCGCTGCTCCTCCACATCCAGAGAAGTCAGCTGAGGTGGCTCAGGCATCTGTTTCGGATGCCTCCTGGACGCCTATCTGAGATGTTCCAGGCATGTCCCACCTCGGGGAAGACCCAGGACATGCTGGAGGAACTATGTCTTTCAGCTGGCCTAAGAACGCCTTGGGATCCCCCCGGAGGAGCTGGAGGAAGTGTCTGGGGAGAAGGAAGACTAGAGTTCTCTGATGAAAATGAATGAATGAGAGCACAGCAGTGTCTATACATTCAGTCATTTTAAAGATTATCTGGGGAATAAAAACATTGATTGTAATATTTTATACATATCTCAGATGTTTAGCTTTCCAACAGTTTCACAGAATACATTAAGAGATCAAAATAAATACAAATAAACTGTCAACACAGGAGACGACCTAGCAAATGTGTGTGAAATTGTGCTTTTATTCTATTTCTCTTCTATGCTCTTATTGTGCGCTTACGTAACACATAAGATACACCCCGCAACATCCGGCTTTCGTGCGCTCTTATCAGCGACGCACTTCCGCTTCCTTCCCCTACCTTGTGCGGTGCGAGAGAGAGCGCGTGTGCCTCAGAGCCTCGGCACACATCTTATAAAAAAAAACCAAGAAAAAAACAAAAAAAATCACAAAACCGAAAAAAACACCAACAAAAAACTACTTTTACTACCGCAGACCTCGGCGAAGCAGAGCGACGAGTGTTGTAGAGCAGTTTAATAGACGAAGAAGCAGCAGCAGGCCTGAGGAGACCCAACACCGCGACCGCCGCCATCTTTAAAACGGAAAAACCGGAGAGCCTGAGAAAAGCGGACAATCGGAAATCCAGCAGTGTTTAAAACCCTCCAGCCGTGAAAATGAACCCCAGCGCGCCCAGTTACCCGATGGCCTCCCTGTATGTGGGCGATCTACACCCGGACGTGACGGAAGCGATGCTCTATGAGAAGTTCAGTCCGGCGGGACCCATTCTGTCTATCCGGGTGTGCAGAGACATGATGACCCGCCGCTCGCTAGGTTATGCCTATGTCAACTTCCAGCAGCCCGCAGACGGTAAGAGAAGAGAGATGCACGTTATCTAGTTAAACACTAAACACACAGCTAACGTTAACCAGTGGACGCTCGCGGGCGCCATTACTGCTCGGTCGCGTGCGCGCGTGGATACAGCTGCTGACAGAAGTTAATTATTTGTATTACTACTGTACATACTGTACATTAATGTGAAGCTTGGCTTAGGGGTATACGTTAATAAAATACTATTTAATTAGGGTGGTTAATGATATGAATCTCGCCGACTTCCGGTTGTAGCTGTATCCTTTCCTGGATTGTAGTTGCTGTTGCTAGAGGAGATACAGCTGCGGTCGGAAGTTGGCAGGAATTAAATTATTTATTAAATGACCTATTAAATTTTATTATTAACGTCTACTCCTACTCTTAAGGTAATGTGAAAATGTAATTATACAGAGTGATACTCATAATGTTTATTATTACATCATAATCGTCTTTTACTCATTTTTACCCATCACTGTAATGTAAAAATCCTAATTTATTACAAGAGTTGTTCATCAGGGTTATTAGATTACCCATTAATGGTGTTTTATTAACGTCTACCGCTACCCTGATCCACACAGTAGTGTAAATACAGTAATTATAGAGAATTATTGATATTATTTATTAAATGACCTATGAAAATGTGTTTCATTTATCTCTACCCTAGCCCAATTTTCACAGTAATGTAAATGCAGTAACTTAAACGAGAATTATATATAGCATTTATTAAATTACCCATGAAATTGAGTTTTATTACTGTCTACCTCTACGCCCAACCCTCACAGTAGTGTAAAAACAGTAAATATACAGTATTAATAATATTATATTTATTGGTTATTAACTTATTATATTGAAATTTAGTAATGTTAGAACAGTAATTATGCCAGGTATTGTTCATATTTCTTAAATTACCCATTAAACTATTTTATTAACATCTTCCCCTCACAGTAATGCAAGAACAGTAATTATACAGAGTATTATACATATTGTTATTACCAATAAAACTGTATTTTACTAACGTTTACTCCTCACACTAATGTAAAAACAGTATTTTACCTGGTATTATTCATACAATTTCATGGGCAATTTAACAAAATATTTTCATGTATGTCTAGCTCTGATCTAATATGTGTGAATGTGATGGGTTTATCAGTTATAATATTTCATGTTTTGGTCTTTCTCGAGTGCTTTCCCCCCTCAATACTGCTCACAGCTTTAATTACTTTCATTTTTGTAAGTAAATGTAAATGAGTATTTATTTCACACTTTACCCAGACTGAAGCACTAGGTGGCGTATTATCATTATTATCCAGTGTATTATTCATAACATTAATAATAATCGTCTTTTACTAACCTCTACCTATCACAGTAATGTGAAAACAGTAAAGCAAGAATTATAATGTTTATTAAATTGTCCTTTAATGGTATTTCATTAGTGTCTAACGTTACCCGGAGTCTCACAGTAATTATAACAATAAGTATTCATATTATTTATTAAATTACCAATGAAATTGTGTTTTCTTAACTTCTATCATTCACAGTAATTTAAAAACACTCATTGTACAGAGTATTATTCATATCATTTATTAGATTAGCCATTAAATTGTATTTCATTAATATCTACCCCTGATCTGATGTATTTATCAGCTTTAATATTGAATGTTTTGGTGTTTCACAAGGGCTTGGCCCGCTCAATGCTGCTTGCAGCTTTAATTAGCTTTATTTGCATTTTATTTTGCACGGTTCGTCTAGACTAATGCACGAGGTAGCATATTATTCATAATATTTATAATAGTCTTTTACTAACAATTACCCGTCAGAAATAGTAATTATTACTGGAATTGTTAATAAATTGCCTATTAATGGAATTACATTAATGTCTAACGTTACCCCGATTCTCACAGTAATGTATAAACAGTAATTATAACGAGAATTATTCATATTATTTATTAAATTACCAATTAAATTGTGTTTTCTTAACTTCTTCGCCTCACAGTAATGTAAAAGCAGTAATTATACCCAGTAATCTTATTATTTGTTAAATGACCCATTATAGTATTTTCTTTCTAACCCCTGATCTAATGCATCAAAATCTAATGGGTTTATCAGCTATAATATTGAATGTTTTGGTGTTTCACAAGGCCATCAATGCTGCTTGCAGCTTTAATTTATTTTCATTTATATGTAAATAAGCATTTATTTCACACATTTTACTCAGACTCCAGCACTAGGTGGCGCTGCATCTCTTTTTATTAACTCTAAT